TAAAATCAGAAGTTCCTTCTGGGGCCGCTGTGACCCGTGTACTTTGGGGTCTAAGGAGAGGACTCCGTGTTTCCCACGACCTTCGGGCACCCTCGCGAGTGAGTCCCCAGTTCCGCCCGCCCCCACCTGAGGAACAAGGGCCAGGGCGGGTCAGGCGTCCCTGCGGCCTCCGCGGGCCCAGAGAGGGAATGGCTCCCCCAGGAAGACTGGGACCTCGCCACAGTCCCCCCCGGGGCCTTGAACGGGCAGGGTCCAGGGCACTCGTGCGGCTTAGGATCGACCCCACCGTCGGAAAGGGGCTGGAAGGTCGGGAAACGCGAACTCACCCCACTCCTGGCGGCTGGATGAAGGCAGAGGGAAAGAGCGGCTTAGACATTTCCCCGTTTCAAGGGGGAAGGGATGGACTTCAGTCCCCTGCAGGAGAAGCCCCCCAAATCCATCCCGGGTCTTGGCACCAGATGTGAGGTCAGGCAACGGGCATCAACCAAGAGGAGGCCGATTTAAAAAGAGACTCCCTCCCAGGGAGGAACTGGATCAGACAGAGTGGACAGGACTAGGGTCTCAGGAGAAACCGGTGGGAGCTTGACTGGACTGGAATTTATGGGGCTTACAGCAGGAAGGGAAGGGCTTGGGACAGCAAAAGGTGTTTTTAGAGTCCCTTGTCTCGCTGGAGTTGGGGTGTGTGTGTTGGGGGGGTGGGATCTGGCTGAAATCCAAGATTGGCCAGGAGATCCCACTGATTGACAGGCATTTCCATCACAGCCTGATTTATGTTCTCATGAGTTGTCTGGTGCTTTGTTCCTAAGTCACTGCCACCCACCTGACACAACCGATGGCCCCATTCAAGTGGCCTCAAGTGGCCTGGGATGTGATCAAACTCCCCTTCTGTCCTAGAGACAGGACTGACCAAGGTCCCAGATCCCAGGATTTTACCTGTATCCTGATGATTGTGCAGCTGTTGGTCCAACTCTCCAGGGAGTCGGTGGCAATGGCTGCTGGGAAGGTACAGGTCCCCCAGGTAAAGGAAATCCCAAACTATCAGGTGTCACCATCTCCTTCAACTTGAGGGGCACAAAGGGCCAGCATGATTGTCACTTCCCAGTCAGGGAACCAAATATTGCGAGAAACAGAGTATCAACAAGCAGCCAGCAGCACTGGGAGAGGAGGAGAACTTCAAACTTTATTTACACCAACAGACCTCCCCCAAAAAACAAAAACTACAAATCCTGAGCCCTGACCCACAGTTTCTCACAATATTTATAAGTTGTTTGATGTCATCTTAGACCCATCCTATCACTGGGGCTTTTTCCTCTTAAAAAAAAAAAAAAAAATCCTAATCTGTGTGGCTGAAGGCCTTGTGCAGGGTCTCTAAATAAAGCATGCCGACAGAAACAGGTAAGAAGAAAGGGCTCTTTTCACAGGCATCTGTTATATTTCAAGGGGAAGTAGTCAGAATCTCAGGGCAGATATTTACAACCCAAAAGGTAGGGACCCAAGGTTAATTAGGCTTCCTGGAGGAAGGCTGAGAGAGGGGAGTGGAACTGACTCCTTCCCCAGGCCTTGGTTTCTTACCATAAGGTTTTTATAATTTCATTTCAAAAGCGGATCTGGTTTTGCCATCACACCTGGGCTTGGCCCTGACTGTCTTCCCCCATATTTTACATCTTCTTCCCTTTGTGTGTGTTCGTCACCATGTTCAAATCTCACCTTTTTATAAAGACACCAGTTATATTGGATTAAGACCCACTATAATGACTTCATTTTTAACTTTATTCAGCAAAGTCCCTATTTACAAATAAGTTTATACCCAGAAAGATGAAGAATTAGGACTCCAGTTTATCTTTTCTGGGGGGATGAAACTAACCTGTATGACTCACAAAAACTTGCATTCCAGGAATTATGTCATCTTCTGGGGCACCAGAGCATTATAGTTCTGTGTGAGTGATCAGGTATGATTTAGACACCTCGTAAAAAGAGAAGGAATAGTTATTTTATCCACATTTCTGTTCTTGCTATTTTTCATTCCTTCTTGCTGATGTGCCAAGATGCTTTCTCTTACCATTCTTTCTCTTTCCACTGCTGCTGTCAATCATCTCTAAGGGTCAACCTCTAGCAAAACATTTCTTTTTCTTTACCTGAGAATGTCTTTATTTCCCTTCATTCCTGAAAGTAGCTTTACCTACAGGATAAAGAGCACAGTTTGTTTGTTTGTTTGTTCTTCCTTTCACCCCCTCCAGAAACAGGGAGTATCAACAGTATTAACAAGAGTATCAACAAAAGCATGCCTTCTGTCATTTCCTTCCAGTTTCCGGTCTTTCAGAGGAGCCACCACTCTCATCAAACTTGGGGTTCCCGACTAGACACTTTCTTTCTGGCTGCTGTCAGGATTTCTTTTTCTTTGTCTTTAGTTTTCTGAAATTTATGAAGTGTTTGGTGTGACTGTTTTATTTGGGTTTAACTCAGCTCCTTGAATCGGGAGGTTTATGTCTTTTTGCCAGATTTTGAAATTTCCAGATATTATTTTTCAAATGCTCTTTCAGCCCCCCTGCCTTTCTCTTTCCCCGTGATTCCGATAATATGAATATCAGGTCTTTGGTTCCAAGCTTCTCAAATTGGCAAAAATGCACACACTCATTAATAGACCCTAAGACATAGTCTCTCAGAGCAGATAAAACTAAGGAGCAACAGCACGTGGATAAGATCTTTCAGTGTCATAGCCCACTAAGAAATCATCTCTGCGTCTGTACTGTGACCACACATCAACTAAATCCATTCACCTCCCTTCAAGGTTCTAAGGAAACTCAAGACCTACTCTGAGTGCCAATGAGTGAGGCCACATGGTTTTGAGCTTTCCACCCTATTCCTATTTTCTCATGATTCCTGTGGATTTTAGTGTTCTGTTTTGTTTGTAAGTAACTTGTTGATCAGGAATGTGTCCATCATGCTATGGCAACTGTGTACCCTGTGCTGGGCATTCTGCAAAGCATTAGGATTATGAAAAAGGAAATGGTTGCAGACACTGAGGACTCTAGTGGGAGAGTTGATATATTGACACATATTTGTAAGTCTGTAGGATGCATTTTCTAATGTAGACAAGTATGAAATGCTCTGGAAGAGCCAGGAAATCTTCCATGCTGGGTTGCATTTGCCTTCACAGAGGGTCCGGCATGGTTTGAGCATTCATTCATTTGATCCTTCATTTAATACACACACACACACACACACACACACACACACTGAATGGCTCAGTAATAGTGCCAGAGGAGTTGGAACAAAGTCTCTGAGCTCAGGATTCAGGCAGGAGCTTCAAGAAAAGAGAAGAGGGAGAAAGGCCTTCCAGCAGAGGCAAGAACATACAAAAGACATAGAAACTAGACATCTTAGTATGTCTTAGTATGACTCTGTGGAAAAACTCCTGGAAGGAAACACGTGAATATGTCCGTGGGGTTTTATCTTGGAGAGTGAGATTACAGATGCTTTTCACTTTCTTCTTCCTTTTTCTCTGGTTTTAATTTTTCTCCAATTAACATGCAGTGAGGTTGTAAATCAATTTCTATTAGCAGTAAGTGCGATGTTCACTGGAAAACACAAAAATGATGTGTTTTTCAAAAACTGTTGAAAGTTGTTGCTGAGATGTATTTTTGAGCTGCCCATAGGGGAGTAAAAGCTCTGTCAAGTTTTATTCTGGAAATGAAACTGGGAGAAGGAAATAGAACTTGGCTGCCTGGAGTCTAACCTTGATCTGGTCAGGCCATTAATTCTCCCCAGGTCAAGGATGCTACAGAGCTGTGGTGTTCTAGCTCAGTGGTGCATCACAAGGAAGCATCTTTACCCACCAACTTGCTTAAACTCTCCTACTCTCTGTATTTCAGTAGGTTTAGGATGCATCCTGGGTACCTGAATGTATGACAGACTCCCAGATGCTGATGCTTCTAGGTCTGTGTTAGGGTAGCTGGTGCAAATATCCAGGAGAGACACATCTCTGAGTTCAAGCAAAGGTTTATTAGCAGAGAGTATCCGCTAGGCTGTCCTTCTGCCAGACACAGTCACTTCAATAGAGATTTTATATCTTTTTAAAACAAGGAACAGGAGCAAGCTGGAAATGACCTTGGGTGCAGGTGGCTGGGTAAGGATAGATTTTTGTATTTAGAGACCCTGTAGGGAAGGGGTTATGGAAACAGGGTATCTTAAGTTTCTTTTTCTTGGTTGTTTTGTAAGTTTTGGTTCTGAGTCCCAGAACCAAAATGGAGTTACTAATGTCTAGGGACCTAACAGTCTGTGGGCACCATTTTGATTTCTCCTGCTTCACAGTTTGTACAAGAGCACAGCAGCCTGGACACCAGCAGCAGACCTGCAGGTCCCTGTCTGTCAAAAATTTTGCTTGACTTACCCAGCTCCCAGCAGGGAATTCTCAACTGCACTATGACATGGCTTCCACTGCTTCTCCTCTTCTCCTTTCTTGGCCCTTCACAGAGCTATGCTTGTCTGGAGGACCCAGAAGGTGAGTTGCCATCTAGGATGCCCAGGGTTCTTTCCACGCCTTCTCAGATGCCCTGGACGCCACCCACTTCAAACAGCTCCTGTGGTGTGGAAATTTTCCAGGCAGTTGTTTCTCAGCAAGGACCCTGCTCTTTCCCTTAGAGGATAAAGTAAATAACATAATTTTTTAAAGTTCCGAGGTCCTTTAGCTCCAGTTGTGGGAATTTGTGCAGAATGTCTCCTGTGCCTAAACTGAACGTAAGGGCAGCGGTAAGCCAACAAGGCACAGCTGGAGCCACAGAGCCAGCCTGGACCAGAGTCAGGATCATATTTGGAAGGAGTTGGGAAAGGCTCAGGAAGAGGTAGAGCCAAAGGAGGGGTCCCCACAGTGTAGTAGAATGCAGAAAATGAAGGATGGGTTGGGGCAAGAGGAGAATTTCAGTATGATCATGAATTATGTGGAGGGAGGGAACTGGGCCGGGTTAAGGTGGCACCCTGTGAAGGGATCTGGGGACTGAGAGGAGACCTAAAGTGCACAGCAATCTGTTATCTATTTTAAATGGGTAGATGAAAAAGAAAGAAGAATTTCCTAGCAAAGTTTCAAAGCTGTTTGTTGCTAAAAATTCACGCTTGGTTTCTACCACTTGTCGCATAGCATGGCAAAGTCAGGAATGAAGTCCATTGAAAAGCAGCCTTAGTTGAAATTGGGATTATTCCTCCCTGAGGATGCTACTGAAATCTTCATGACATGACCTGATTAATTTCTGTGGGTTCAGAGTTATCCACCTTTGTGAACTCCCATAATATACTCAATACCCATTTGCAGATAGAATAATAAGTTCTTCAGAAGATGTTGAGAATCTTAAATCTCTCTTCTGTGCAAATTGTCCAGCATGATTCTTGGTCCAGAACTGCAAAATGTATTTCATTTCCCATTTATCCCCTTAATGAAGAGTCAGACTTGAACAATTTGAGACTACCTTTGAGGAACAAAGATAGAATCTGGGAGCTGGAAAGCCCTTTACCTGCAGGAAGAGGTCAACCTAAGGTATCTGCAACACTTCAGTAGAGAGGAGATGCCTAATGAAGAACTGCGGGCCAGACGGCCTCAGCTGGAGTGTTGTTGGATCAGAGCTTCGATTTGGAAACCTTTATCTAGAGCCAGTATGTAGGGTATATTAGATGGGGGAGGGGGAAAAAGAAAATGCCTGCAGTGGAGAAGTTGCCGCGTGTAGGAACATAAGAGGTGAAAGGAGTAAGGCAGCATGGAGTTCTCATTTCAGAGGCCAAAAGACCCTCCTGGACTCATTGTATGGAAATGCAAAATCTTATTTAAAGAAAGAAACAAACAAAAAAACAGGAATCTAGAGTTTCTTTCCTTTTAAAAATATTAATATTTGATTCTAATCTCCTACTGTTAGGGCAAATCAGATACACTTTCAGGTCCCATCTGGCCCATGGGTGTCCAGTTTCTTACCTTAGGCTGGAGAGTATGCACCTCTGAACCTGTTGATTAAAAATACTGGAGAGGGATGGGGATGTGGCTCAGTGATAGAGCACTTGCCTACCATGTGCAAAGCCCTGTTCAGTCCCCAGAATTGCAAAACGATTTTTTTTTTTAAATGAAGCACTGAAAATGCAGTAGGTAAGTCTGTGTAGAAGATAAATAGGCCATTTAAATTACATGTCTAGAAAGAGGGTACAGGTCAAGGTTGGAAATACCCCATAGAACGGTTCTCTACACAAGATGAGTCTCTCTCTTATCCCCTCAGGGCCATTTAGCAAGTTCTGAAGACATTTTGTGTTGTTAGAGCTGAGAAGTGCTACTAGAACTTAATGCCTAGGGTCCAAAGATGCAGCCAAACATTGCACAGAAATCCATTCACAACCATAACCTGGCCCCAGATACTAGCAGTGCTGAGACTGAGAGGCCCTGGGTTAGAAAACTGTTTGCAGGGGGTTATCAGTTCAAGTGTGGGAGATGAATTAGGCATAGAAAGAGGAAAACAGAAGAGAAAGAAAGCAGCTGTACATGGGATGAAGTGGTGTTTGGGAAACAGCTCTGTGAAAGCACGGGAAGAAGAGCCAGGCACAGACAGGCTCCTGAGAGGGAGTAAATCACCAAGAGGAGCTGCCTGGTCTCAGTGTGTTCTGATCCTGTTACTCAGGTAACTCTCTTTCTGTTTTGTTTGTGGACTAATTAGCACCAAAACTCCATTTGGCTCTGTGTCTTTTGAGTAAGGATTTATTTTACCATGATTTATAGCCTTGAAGAAAATGTGTCCTAGCCAGAGGATCATAGGAGACCTGTGGGCCTTGGTAAATAGCCAGGCTTCCCAGGAGTCATAAGTTCCTTGAGTGGCTCTGGGTGGGGCTTGTGCTCTCAGAGATGACCCCTCTGTGGTGCTACTACCCACGTCTTGATTTCAGAGTCATCTTCCCTCCACATTCTCTACACTACCAAAGCTCCATTGGTCAAATACAATACCGAGACGAAGGCCCTTGCATATGTGAACAATCAGCTCTTTCTGAAATTCAACAGTAGGAACCAGAGCATTCAACACTGGGGTCTGTGGGAGACACTGGAAGGTTCCGTGGAGTGGAGAGAGTTGGTACAGAATGTGAAGCTCTTTGGGAGGGAATCCTTGGTGTTGCTGTGGGACATGAAGCAGCACAGCCAGCAGCCTGGTGAGTAGGAAAATGAGCCCTGAAAGTCAGTGGGGACAAGACTCCAGGAGGGTGAGGTGCTCCATCCTCCCCTAGCCCCCTGTTTCTCAGGAGCATATTAAAGTCTCAGGACACCATCAGAGTCAGCTCTGCTGCCACAGGGTAGGGAGGGGAGTAGTCCTCTCTGCCCTAGAGTCCTCTTTCTATGCTTAATGCATCTCCATTTTGCAGAAGACAGAGGAAGTTATGCTCCTTTTTGGGCTTTGGGGCACCAGGGCCTCATATTTTGCAGATGGCTCTGGGCTGTGACCTCAAGGAGAATGGCAACTTCAAGAGCTTCTAGAAATACAGCTACGAGGGACAGGACTACCTCACATTCCAGCCAGCAACACTCTGCTGGAAGGCTGATGCTCCTGAGGCCCAAAGCATGGCACAGAGTTTGAAGAAGGATAGAGACTTGGCCCAGCACCATGGTGCCTTTATCAATGGTGACTGTCAGCACTATCTTCAGAAGTACCCAGGACCTGGGAAGAAAGCTTTGGTGCAATCAGGTAACTGTCCCTCTAATGGAATCGGTTAGACTAGCTTTGGCCTGAGGCTCTCCATGCCTTGCCCCATTTTTAGGTGAGGGAAGCCAGTGCCCATCAGAAATTCACTGAGGCTCAGTGTCTTGCCCTGTGGTCCATTATGGCTGGGTCTCGATTCTGTCAGAGCAGGGATTGGCCTGAGGGCATGGGGGAGGCAGACAAGAAAGGGAGGAGCAATCCCTGACCAAACTCACAAGAAACTGAACAGGGACCTCAATGACATTGACTTCATGGTCTCAACACCAACTCCCTGGAATGGAATTCATGTTTCAGCTTGAATGAGGCATCTGCTTCCTGACTGGAAATTCAACATGAAAAACCAAAGTACCCTGTTTTCCTTGGATGAGGTAGAGAGTCAAAACCTGGTAAATTGTATAATTTTAAAAAGTACCCCTTCACCTCAGGCAACTGTTCCTCTCTGCACCAGCTTCAGTAAATTCCAAGTTAAGTTATTTTGGGGACCAGGGCACGGGATGTCACTCATGGTGGTTTTGTCTCTCCTAACTCCTTTCTGAGTATTCGTGAAGCTCCCTTCTCCTGTCGTGTTTAAGCAACCGTGGATTGGCCTGCAGGCTGTGCTTAGATTGTTACTAGAACGACCTCATGCCAGGTGACAGGCCACAGGAATGCAGAATCTGGATGGAGGTCACACAGCTACACCTGGCACTGAGCTAGCTGTGAGGAATGTGACCACTCGGCAGAGTTCAGTTGCTTCCAGGGACCTGACCTTGGAGAGGCTCCTGCTCTGGACTGAGTGGGCACTTAGGGGACTCAGGACTCACAATTATTCATACCATCAGTTGGATTGTAGGAGAATTAGTACTAAGTATTTTAGCTTCAGAAATTATTTCCCGACCTAAAAATCTCTGGTCATTATGCACAGTCAAGCAAGAGAGGTGACCCAAAGTTATTCTGGGGAGGCTGACGGCCTCACAGCTATTTAGGATACATACTTAGGTAAGTGTCTCCTAACCTTATGATGTCTAGATTTAAGCTAATAAGTTATAAAGTAAATCAAACCCATTATGTCAATATTTTATGTTAAGAAAGAACATATGCATATTTCATATTTTAAGTATTTCAGATAATTAAAAGTCTGTGACTGATATAAGGTTATAGTTGAGATAGCAATTATCCTTGTGATTTTTATTTTGATATCTTACTGAGTTTAGAAGCACTTTTAGAATATTTGAGAATATTTAAGACTCATCCTATGAAGGGTGAGCTTAGACTTTTAAAAGGTACTGAGGCACTTGGGGTGGTTATGTTAATTGAGCATTTAAACACTTTAGAAATCTAATATATCAATTTATAGTCACAATTGAAAAGTTTAAAAAATGTTATTAAATTGCAAATCCCTATCAAAAATGATTTAATTTTTTAAATTAATAAATGCAGTAATGAACTTTGCAGATTGAGAGTTTAAAGAAGAACTGTTAATTTAGTTTTGTCAAATAATCAGTAGAATCTTACATTTTTAAAGTACCAAAGGAGTTCTTGAAAGATCCTTCTGTATGGAAAAGAACATAAAATGCACATTAATTACATCGACTCCACATTAGTGGAGAGGGGGGGTGAGCAGCCTGACTTCTGGGCCTGGGGACCTGCTGAAGCATCTGGAATGTCTGTCACCTGCTGCTGCAATACCAGCACCCACCCCTTGAGTCCAGCCAGAGTCCAGCTTAGACTCGTGCTGTCCCACAGCTGCTAACATAATGAGTTAAAATTAAGTAAAACTTAGCATGTTGTTCCTCTGACACACTAGCCACTTTTCACATGGTTCTGAACAGTGTTAGAAGATGCCTATTATCTCAGAGTTTTATCAGACAGCAGTGTTTGGGGACATTCCCCAGCTCTTGCCACCTTATTATATTCCTTAAAAGGTCTCAAAAATAATTTACATGTTTGAATTTTGCTCACAGAATTTCAGCAAATCTGTTCCCTGGAAGCACAGATGCTGTGCTGTTCAAGACTCCAGGATGCATCCTCTTTGACATTTCACTCACCTGGAGCTAACTTAGCAAAGCACCATAGACTTGGGGGCTTCAAAAAGAACTTTTATTTCCTCTCAGTTCTGGAAGTTGGGAAGCCTGAGGTCAGGTTCTACTGGCTCAACTCCTACTAAGGGCTATCTTCTGGCTTTGTAGGCAGTGGCCTCTTCCTGTGTGCTCACATGAGGCTCCTTGGTGCACATGGGGGTGCAAGGAAGGAAAAAAAAATAGACGGCTCTCTCTCCTGCCTCTTTTTATATCAGCACGAATCCCATCACTCAGGAACTCTTTGAGTCCTAATCACTTTGCAAAGGCCTTATCTCCAAATACCATTACATTGAGGACAGGGTTTTAGTTTATAAGTTTGTGGGGGACATGATTCAGTCCATAGCATTTCCTGTGTTAATGTTCTGGAGCTGCAGTTTCAAAGTACCTCCAACTGGGAGATTAAATAAGAGATGGTTATTATCTCACAATTCTGGAGACTGGAAGACTGAAATGGAGATGTCCTCAGGCTTGGTTCCTTCTGAGGTCTGGGAGGGAAGATCTATTCCAGGGCCCTCTCCTACCTTCTGGAAGCCTTGACCTGAATAGGCCTCCTCCCTGTGTCTTTTCATGTTTTCCTTCTGTACCAATTTCTATGTTGAAAATCTCCCTTTTCATAAGGATGCTAGTCAGTTTGGATTAGAAGCTATCCTAATTAACTCATCCTAACATGATCATCTGCAAAGAGCCTATTTCCCAATGAGGTCACATTCACAGGTGCAGCAAGTTAGGACTTCCACAACTTTGGAGGGGTATACTTCAACCTACACCACCTACTTTTCCACGAGGGTTTCCAGAATCATGAAGGACTGAGACTGAATTGCTAGATGAGGGCCCAAGGCCAGCCTACAAGTGTTTTCTGGGTCTCTTGAGCTGAACTAACATCTCCAAGTGGGAGGAGGGTGGCCCAGGGAACAGGAGAGCTCAGAATTCATCCTGCTTTCACTCTGCTCTCAGAGTCTCCTTCAGTGTCTGTGACCAGCCGTCAGAGCTCTTCCTGGGAAACGGTGCTGCAGTGCCAAGACCTGTGCTTCTTCCCTTGTGCTAACATGCTGAGCTTGTGGAGGGGCCAGGAAGCCCTGCCCTTGGTCCACAGTGGGTGTCGGCTGAATGGAAATGGAATCTGTCAGTGCTGGGTGAATGTGACTGTCCCTAGAGGAGAAGAAGCCATGTACTCCTGCCATGCTGAGCATGGAGGCCTGAAGGAGCCCCTCATCATCAAGTGGGGTAAGAATATGGGCTGCTGAGGTTGGTGGCCCAGGGTGGGTCTGGAATATTCACCAGAGCAGAGGTTAGGATGAAGACCTGGGATCTAACATGCTGGTGAGGTGGGGAAAGGATTCCAAGTGCTGCTGGTGAACCCAAACATTGTATCTCATTTCAGACTTCTCATCTGACTCTACAGGCCCACAACCCTCTGCTTGGGTGTTCATTTTGGCAGGTGTTTCGACCATACTTGGCATTGCAGGTCTCTGGGAAAAGCTAATCTAATCAGGTAAAGAAAGATGGGGTTTATTGTCTACTACCGAGTCAGCGGCTGCAGTCCTTGGTTCCGGTCTCCCATTGTGGAGTAAGCACTCAGCCCTGGCCATTTACTTGTTCAGGAATAGGGTATTGAAGGTCTTTAATTCTCCAGGAACAACATCTACAAAAAGGAAGGAAAGAAAAAGAGAGAAGAAGAGGGGGGGAAGTATTTTACGTACTCCTCCTGTTCCCATCTTTCACTTTTCATCCACTCTTGCAGGAAACCTTCTTGATGAGCCAAATGGGTGTTTGGGGTTAAAAGTGTTATTCTCAAAGTATATTCTACACATGCATTTTTCTTTTCATTCACTAACTTAATGTTCTGTGGACTCTTCTAAGTGACTGGATGGATATTGACTCTACTGCTTACCACTCCATGCAGTGCAATTGATCCATTTTACCTCTCCATTCTCCATGAAGGATGCCAATCTTCCCACTTCTTGTCATAGCAGGTGGGGAGAGGGTAGCAAATGCAGAGGGTGTACCTCCTTTGTTATTATTTGTCCTGTTATGATTTAGATATGAAGCGTCCCCCAAAAACTCATTTGCTGGAAACATGACCCATAACATAGCAATGGTCAGAGATGAAAAGAATGGAATAAGAGAGCTGTAACTGCATGAGTGGATTTTTCCATTTGATGACTTGAATCTTTGAATGGACTACTAGGTGGTTACTGTAGGCAGGTTGGTCATGGTAGGAGGAAGTAGGTCACTCAGGGCATGTGACTGGGGATTGATTATATCTTGAGGATCAGGGCCCTCCTCATGTTCCCTCTCTGCTTCCCTGCTCCCGTGAGCTGACAGCTTTCCTCCACCACACCCTTCTACCATGACGCTCTGCCTCACCTCATGCCCAGAACAATGGACTGAACCTCTGAAATCATCAGCTCCCCCAAAACTGTTTCTCCTCTAAGTTGTTCTTATCATGTATTTTGATCACAGCAATAAAAAGCTGACTAACAAGTCACTGGTTACTTCATGATCCCTGGTAATTATTTCTCACAGAATTTCAACACATAATTGAAGAACATATTTATCCCCCACAGGATACATGGTATATGATCATTATTATTGTTTATAGCATAACTTTACACACACCTATTAATTTACTTGAAGTAGGAATTTAAATATGTTGTTTAAACAAGTGTTGAACATGAGCTGTATCCCCCCCCCCCCCGCCATAGGGTAGGAAAAAAGATTAAGCCAAAGGTGCCCCAAGGACTTAACACCAACATAATACACAAATATTTACACTAATTAGACAGATAGCTATTACAGTATTACCAGGGAAACAAGTCATTAACTGAGACAGCCAGAATTCAGATCCCTTAACAATAAGTGTTGGCGAGGGTGTGGGGAAAAAGGCACACTCATACACTGCTGATAAATTGAAAATTGGTGCAGCCACTCCAGAAAGCAGCATGGAGATTCCTCAGAAAACTTGAATGGAACTACCATTTGACTCAGTTATTCCTCTCCTTGGCATAAACCCAAAGAACTGGAGCATACTATAGTAACACAGCCACATCATTGTTGATAGTAGATCAATTCACAATAGCTGAACTTGGCACCAGCTTAAGTGCCCTTCAGCAGATAAAAGGATAAAGAAAACGTGATACATATACACAGTGTCATATTACTCAGCCATAGAGAAGAATGAAATTATGGTTACTGGTAAAGTAAATGGATGGAACTGCAGACCATAATGCTAAGTAAAATAAGCTAATCCCAAAAAACTGAAGGCCGAATGTTCTCTCTGATGTGTGGGTGCTGACTCACAATAAGCAGGGATTGGGGGGATAGCATTTCACTGAATTAGACAAAGGGGAATAGAAGGAAGGGAGAGGAGGTGGGAAAAGGAAAGTAGAATGAATCAGATATCACTTTTCTATGTTCATGTATGAATGTACAACCAATGTAACTCCACAGCATGGACAGCCATAAGAATGGAAAGTTATACTCCATGAGAAGTTATGATATCTCAAAATGCATTCTACTGTCATGTGTAACTAAAAAGAACAAATACAAAAGTTTTAAAAAAGAATTCAGACCCTTTAGGAAAGTATTGCTGTAGGATATAATGAGAGTTGCTGAGTTGAGCCATGGTGCCAGAGTCCTTTGTGAAAAACAACATCTGCAAAGGCCATTTGATGATTCAGAAAACTGGTGTGCTTTTGTGCAGTTTGAGGGATAGAAGGAACACTGTAACATGCTGGTGTTTCCTTTGTAAGCTGTTTAAAGGAGTTCCACTGGTGAGTTACGAGAGTTGACACTGAGAGCGGCCAGGGAAAGCAGCACTGTATGAAAGGCTCCACATTTCTATGAAAAGAAAGGGAGTGTCTAGTGTGATGGTGAATCTGGATTGTCAACTTAATAGACAGCGATGCCTAAGATTAAGAGGCTTCTGGGTATGTCAATGAGGGTGTTTCCAGAGATGATTGGCAAGGTTGGGGAGGAACCTGCCCTGAATATGGGCAGCACAGTCCCACAGGCTGGAGGTCTGAATGGGACAAATGGTGGAAAAAGGACATCAAGGCAGAGGCAAGCCCAATTCTTCTTGAACTGGTGCTTCAGTTGCTGTTGTGATCACCTGATGACTTTGGACTCTAGCTCCTTCACTCTTCCAAAGTGGACTCTGACCAGTGATTTTCCAGGCCTTCAGCCTTGGGCTGGGCCTGCCTTATTGGTTCCTCTGGTTTTGAGGCTCCAGATTCTTAGACTGAGCAGCTCCTGGTTCTTCCAGCTGTCCAGCCTGCAGAAGGCCATTGTGGGACTGTCCCGCCTCTGATCATGTCAGCCACTCTAATAAATCCCCCTCTATAATCATATATATGGATATATATAAAGATATATTACACACACACACACACACACACACATACAGCTGGGGACTTCTGATTAGACGGGATCTTATTTCTCTGCATCTTTTGGCACTAGTAAGCATTCCATTGCTTCCAGAGCACGACTGATAGCTCCTTTTTTGTTTGTATGTTAACTTTTGAATTCCCTTCCTGAAAGTTCAATGCTGGCATTGGCCAGTGTTTTAGTTCTATTTCCCATTGTCAGAGAAGAAGAGGAAGAAGAGAGAGGGAGAGAGAGCAAGAGGGAGGAAGATAAGGAGGAAGAGAAAGGAGAAGAAGAAGAGGAGAAAGAGAAAGGGGGAGGGAGAAATGCATTTGTTTCTTATAGTCTTGAAACATACACAAAACATAGACAGTGACAAGCAGATCCTAAGATTCATGTGGAATTCAACAGACCCTAAATAGCTAAAACAATCTTGAAAAAGAACAAATTTAGAAAGATCACACTTTTGGATTTCAATTTAGTTTAAAGGTACAGTAATCTGGACAGTGTAGTCCTGACATAAAGATAGGCATATAGATCACAGGAATAAAATTGATGTTCCAGAAGTAAATCCTCACACTTACAGTCAGTTGATCTTGTTCTCTCTTTTTTTTTTTTTGGGGGGGGGGGGGACTGGGGATTGAACCTAGGGGTACTTTACCACTGAGCCACATCCCCAGCCCTTTTTACAATTTTTATTTTAAGAGAGGTCTTACTAAATTGCTGAGACTGGCTTTGAATTTGTAATCCTCTTGCCTCAGCCTCCCCAGTGACCGGGATTACAGTAAAGTCCACTGGTTTTTGACAAGGATGCCAAAATAATTAGATGAAGAAAAAACCATCTTCTCAACAAGGGTGGCAAGACAATAGACTCCCCCTACTCTCCCCACCCCCAAGAAGAATGCAGATGTACTCCCACCCAGGCTGTCAATCAGAGGTAGAGAACCAGGAAAGCCAGGTGGGCTGGAGTCCCATCTGAAGCCTGAGAAGCCGGTAGGGAGTCCCCTGGTAAAAGTCTTTGCAATGGGTTGGAGGAGGTTTGTGCCCACCAAGACTCATGGCTTCAACATTTAGTGCAGCAATACCAGGAGGTGAGTCTTGTGAGGTCATTAGATAACAGGGTCTCCACTCTCATGAATGGACTCATGTTTGCCTACAGAGGCTGGTTTAGGTTTCTTTCACAGCTGATGAATGGAAAAATAAAATGTGGCGTGTGGTACATGTGGTACACTTACCATAAAATATGAAAACATTATCTTAAATGAAAGCAGTCACACAGGGGCACACACACACAGGGGCACATACACTCGGGGGCACATACACACAACAAAAACAAAAACTGTATGTTGTATGATTCTCTGTGTGTGAAATGTTCTGTACAGAAAGAAAATACATTAGTGATTGTCCAGGGCTGTTGGTGAGGGAGGGAGAAAGGAGGGACTTGGGAGATTATGACTATAGATTAGTTTCTTTTGGAGGAGGTGGAAAATGTTCTAAAATTGATTGTGGTGATGGTTGTACACTAAAACCCACTGACTTACATCTTAAATAGATGAATTTGTGGTATATGAATTCTATCTCAATTAAGCTGAAAAACAACCCCAGTGTACATATAATTTTCTGAATCCTGTTTTATTTATGTGCCTACAATTTAGAGACTCTGATTTCCAATTTTAATTTTCTTCAATTGCAAAATTTTCAGCATGCTTAGAAAGAAATATTTTAAGCATGATTCTTCAACTTTATTGGGAAGGTTGAGGGAAGCTTTAAAAATCCTAGCTCGCACATATCAATTAAATCGGAGTATCTGGAGGTGGGAGCAGGGTGTAAATATGTTTAATGATTTTCCAAGTAGCTCCCATCAATGTGTTAGAACATTTGTAACACACTCCTCAGATAATTTGTAAATTTGGTAAAGGTATTTCAGTGGAATGTAATTTGCTAATCAAAAAACAAAATGAAGTTTTCGCTGAAAAAACATAGATTGGTTATAAATCAGATAACAAGATTAAATTAAACTAAATTTGAGATAAAAGTTTTGGAAATTCATCATCAAAATTTTGAATTAATTAACATTTAAATATTGAGCATTTAGATGGGAACATCGTGATATAAACTTCCTGGTCGGCAACACCCGCTCAAGATGTGAAGATTCACCCAGTGGGCACAAGCAGGTGTCCTTGCCCGCAAGGGGAAAAGCCCAGGCCCTGGGACCACGCGTCCTTTTCCCTGTGACCAGGAAGGGGTCTCTCCAGGAAGCTCCTTGGGCACCACAGGCCTTGGCGATGGCCCGGTGTGACTTCTGGGGTCATTGCTTCCCTGCCCGCACAGAGGCGGAGTCCCAGGCGCGGCCAGGGGACATGGGCCCGCGAGCGCGGCGCGCGCTGCCGCTGCTGCTGCTGCCGCTGCTGCTACTGCTGCTGCTGGTGCGCACCGTGGTCCCGCAGGGGCGACCGCCGCGTGAGTGCGGGGCTGCGGCCAGCAGCGCGGGAGGGAGGGGCGGCCCGAACGGGCTTTGCTCGGCTCGTGGGAGCTTGCTGGCCGCGAGAACTTAGCCCTGTCCGCCGCCCCGTCCGCCACCCCGTCCGGCCCGCGCAATCTCCCGCCCACACCCCGGGAGGGAACGCCCGCCCCCGAGGTGCAGGCGGGGTCCCTGGACCCAGCGCGCGTCCCCCTCCCCGGCCCCGCGTCCCTGCTCTGGGTGGCGTTTGGAACCTCTCGCTCGCTCCCTCCCCGACGGGACGCTTCGGATTGAAGCTCCTAGTTCCCCGCTTGGCCGCCCGCGGCCTGGGGCCCGCGGCTCGCCTCGGTTCTGACGTCCCTAACGCCGGCTGCCCCCGTTCGTGCGTCATCGCCTCTGGACCTTGGCCAGGGCGCTGCTCGGCGTTTCCGCGCCCGGGCGCGGCGCAGATTGGCAGCCACCCGCGGAGGGACCCCCGGGGCGCGGGCGGGACTCCACTCTCCGCCGTCGCTGTGAGCGGGTGGCGGCCCCGCCCGGGAGCCCCCTGAGCGTCCTGCCTCGGGTCCTCCCGGGCTCCTGGCGCTGATCCTCCTGTTGGAAATACCAGGTACTTTAACGAGTTAAGGATTGAGCCCAACCCGGTGAAAGAGCATCGCCTTCAGCTAAGCTTTGATAGTGGTATAATAACGGAGCTTTTCTAAAGGACGCCAAAGTAATGAATGCCATTTTAGCAGTGGACTCAGTTTTAAGCCACATCAGATCTGTGATTTTTGACTGCCATTGTGCCTTGGGAAATAGGAAGTATTAATAGGTTCCTTAGACAGCTGGCCTCAGGTTAAATGACTCTTTTCTGTTCAAAGAATGTAAGCAATTTAGTTTTCTGATGTTAAATTCGGTACTAAGAGTGGCCCCACTCTTAGCTCCTGTTGACTATCTAGTTACCTAACTGGGCACTCGGTGCAGGACAGTTACCTACCTTAGCACATAGTGGGAGGTACTGTGTGTATTGTGTCCACATTTCACAGACACAGGAGTGAGGCATGGGCCGCTTACAGGTGACTTCGTTCAAAGTTACACCAGGCTTTGGTGGCAAAGCCATGTCTCCACTTCATCCTTTTGACTCTTTACCATTATTGTAGGATGACTCGCAGATTCCGACGTTGAACAGAAATATTCGTTGTTCAGAAGCATAGAAAGAATCTCAATGGTGTGTTGTACTGTTCTAGGCCCAAGGGGAGAGCAACACAAAGTTGTCTTTTGTTTTTGTTTTCCCTGGGTCCCTGGGGATAGAACCAGGGCCTTGCATTTGCTAGGCAAATGCTCTGCTGCTGAGCTACATCCCCAACCCCAGAACTCAGTCTTTGCCCTCTGATATTTTTCATAATAGACAAATGAGCAGAAAAATACACAACATGGGATAGCTGCTGGGTTCTGTGAAGATGTGAAGCAGGGAGGTCAGGGCCGGCCTCTCTGTCACTCTGACATTTGAACAGAAATCTGAAAAAAGTAAGGTTGACACTGGGACTGATTGGGAACAGAGTTTCCCAGGAAACCAGGAAACTGAGTGGGCCTGGCAAGCTGGTCGGAGCAGGTTTTTTCAACACTACTCAGCGTTTATTGTCGGAGGGAACTGTCCTGGGCACAGCAGGACATTAGCAGCATTGCTATTTTCTATTCAGTATATGCTACTAGGAGCAACACCCTCCTCCCCATAGTGACCACTGAATATATCCATATATTGCCAAATGTTCCTGAAAGGCAAAATCTCCTCACTAAGAACCACTGGGTTGAAGGAAGAGGAAGGAGGTCAGGACTACCTAAGTCAAGGTCTCAGGACCACAGGCAAGGTCATGCAGCACCCCCAGGCTGGCGTGTGGGTGGGCTCCAGCAGATGACACGGAGGCAGGTTTTTAAGGGAGACCAGCCAGGAAGCCATACCTCCTGGAGGCCAGAAATGATGGAGTGCTGAGGGGGGGTGTGTGGGGACGTTGATATTCTGAGTGTATTTTGAAGGAAGTCATGGAAGGACTATGCATGGCATGAAGGAGCCAATTCAAAAGTGACTCTTTTTAATTATGTTACTCTATGTTAATTTAACTGGACGAGAAATGCAGTGATTGGTGAGGCTGTTCATGAGATGGCGAAGGCAGTTTGTGGGGGAAATCAAGAGCCTGGTTTTGGACGTGAATTTGAGATTTGAATCAAGCAGCTCTGCTGGAAAAAAGCTCCAATGGGAGCAAGTTCTTGGGGACTTGGTTCTAGAGAGCTGTGAGCAACCATCCTAAGCTCAACCACCAGGGCTGGAGATGCCTTAGGGCTTCCCCAGGGTCCTGGCTCCTGGAGAAGTGGCCCAGGTGTGGGAGTGGGGTGGGGGCAGCGTGGTGGGCAGCCTTGTGCAGCACAGGGAGCAGCAACAAGGGAGGGCAGCCAGGGCTTCAAGCCCAGGGAAGGCGGCTGTGTCTCTCTCCTCAGGGTCAGGTTGATGATGCTCTGCCTCCCTTTTCCCCCTGCCCCCTGCTGATGGCCTTGGCTCTGTCTGCAGGGTCCCACTCTCTGCGCTACCTCTTCATGGGCGCTTCAGAGCTGGACCTCGGGCTGCCCTTGTTTGAGGCTTTGGGCTATGTGGACGACCAGTTATTTGTGTCCTACAATCATGAGAGTCGCAGAGCCGAAGCCAGAGCCCCTTGGGTCCAGGGCAGAACCTCAAGCCAACTGTGGCTGCAGCTGAGTCAGAGCCTGAAAGGCTGGGACCACATGTTCACAGTGGACTTCTGGACCATCATGGACAACCACAACCACAGCAAGGGTACGTGGAGGGGCAAGAGTACTTTACCACCGCAGGGGTGCATCTGATGGAAGGAGCTAGAAGGCAAGGGAGAGGAAGGGAGTTTTCTTCCTGAGTCGACTGGGCCCTTGGGGATGTCGGGGCAGGAACCTACCCCTTTGGTGTTGGTAACAAGGCTGGGGTTTTGCCAGAGTCTCACACGCTGCAGGTGATGCTTGGCTGCGAGGTGCAAGCAGACAACAGCACCAGGGGGTTCTGGAGGTACGGGTACGATGGGCAGGACCACCTGGAGTTCTGCCCGGACACACTGGATTGGAGGGCAGCAGAGCCCAAGGCCTGGCCCACCAAGCTGGAGTGGGAAGTGCACCAGATTCGGGCCAAGCAGAACAAGGTCTACCTTCAGAGGGACTGCCCCCAGCAGCTGCGGCAGCTCCTGGAGCTGGGGAGAGGCATTCTGGACCAGCAAGGTATGCACCCACGTGCCCCACGCTCTGGAGGTAGCAGGAGGGGGACCCAAGGCAGGGGATCCCTCCTGAGATTTTGAAGTGGTTGAAGTTGTGCATCTCTCTCAATGTTCTAGAAAGGGTCTTCCCAATCCTAGGGTCTTCACCTTATAATTGAGATAGACCATGCAACCTCTAGTCAATGGTTTTAGTTGTTTTTTTTTTATGCACATGACTTAAGAGGAAGTGTCTGAGGTACCATGAATTCCTGGGCAGGAAAATACCAAGTGGGGTGATGTATCGGGGCAGCAGAGTCTCTTGGAGATTAAAGTTACTTTTATAAAACATGGCAGTAACTGCTGCAGCCTGCCTACCTTACAAGTCCCTTTCTTACGAGAATGAATGCAGGGCCGATCCAGAAGAATGGATAATCTGTATTCAGTCATTTTTGATCCAGGTAAAAGGAGACTTCACCTGTCAGAACAGAGGACATGGGTAACAGTTATACATATTTTCATAGTAGGCGGGGGTCAGGCTTATATATATGTAACTGATCTCCAAGTGTCACTGCCTCAGACGTAGATCATGGAAACCATCTTAGAACAAAGGCTGTCCCTGCTGCAGTCTGTTCTCTCTGAAGGGTGCGTTCCTCCAACCTTTGGAGGGAAGTGAAACCCCAGTCTTGCTGGCAGGATGAAAGTCCCCCTGTCCTCACTCTTCCTCTTTCTTGTCAAGTGCCTCCATGGGTGAAGGTGACACGTCATGTGACCTCTGCAGTGACCACTCTGCGGTGTCGGGCTCTGAACTTCTACCCCCAGAACATCAGCATGAGGTGGTTGAAGGACAGCCAGCCACTGGATGCCAAGGAGGTTGAGCCCCAGGACGTGCTGCCCAGTGGGGACGGCACCTACCAGGGCTGGGTGGCCTTGGCTGTGCCCCCTGGGGAGGAGCAGAGGCACACCTGCCGGGTGGGGCACCCAGGCTTGGACCAGCCCCTCATGGCCACCTGGGGTAGGTGCCGGCTGGGCTGAGGACATCTGCTGTGTGGGCAGGGGTGGTCTGGGTGGCGTCAAGGGCGGGGTCTGCTGGGGTCAGGGTGCTAGTCGTGGGCTTGAACTTGCTCTGCTGTTTCAGCGCCCCCGTCGCCCAGCACCCTGGTGATTGGGGTCGTCAGTGGCACCATGGTTTGCATCCTCCTCGTCTTTACTGGAGTTTTACTCCGAACTCTAAGGAAGAAGCACGCCTCGAGTGAGTAGGGGGGGAGGTGCTGGGCCTCCTCCCAGGGTGTCCTAGTCCTGAAGGAAGCAGGCAGGGGAGCCCCGTCCTTGGGAAGCAGGAAGGGAACTGATGGAGTTCTGGACTCAGCAAACACCTTTGAGCAGGTGCTGTTTTACAAGTGCTGTTTAAGTAACAGCCGGGGCTTTGAGGCTAAGGAAGTCACTACCCAAATCCTGTAGGGGATGAAATCCGTGGTAAGTAAGTACCACTGAGGAGACCCCTGAGGCCCAGCAGGTGTGACTCGAGTGCTTCAGGGTGTCCAAGGAAGGATGAGTCCTGTCCTCTAGGGTCAAGAATGGCTCTGAACCTTGACAAAGTGGGATCTTTAGATGAGGCCGAGGATCACAGGGTCTACACCGCTGAGCGACCACTCAAGGAGGACCATGTGGGCAGGAGAGCAGTAGTCACTGTGCCTTGCCCCTGGCTTTGCATTCCTCAATGTCACCAGTTTGACCCTCTGGACTTCTGTCGTGGGGGGAAAGATGGGAAGACAGAGTCCTGGGCCTGCAGAGTCATGAGCGCTGGGCGTCAGTGAGGGGACACAGCAGGGAGGACCTGGCTGTCCTTGTGGTGAATGGTTTGATGGGAGGAGGGAGGAGACCAGGTAGAAAGCAACAAACAGTTCCAGACCAGCCATGATGGGGCCTGAAATCCAGAGCCCTGGTACAAGTGGTCAGGGATGCGATGGGTGAACGGGGAAGGGAGGGACAGGAAGAGGCACAACGCGGCCTGGTCTGTGTTGCCTGCCCTTGGGCCTCTTGTCTTCACAGGAGGCGTCGCCAGGGACTACGTCTTAGCCGATTGCCAGTGAAGCGCAGCCTGCTGACCTCCTGCAGGGAGGAAGGAAACACAGCCAGACTCAAAGACAGGGCGCACTTGTGGACTCCTCAGTGTTTGGGGACAGAATTGGGCCTACCAAACAGAAAGTGCTGCAGAACTCTGCTCCAGTCTTCCCTGCTCACTTCCCCAGGAAGTTTCCTCCATCTGTGTCTTGGTTCCTGCATGACAGCAACCCCAGGCTGTGACCTGTCCCCCAGAGCTGGTTCTCATAAATCTCAGGCTGACTGTGGAGACTTCCTTCATCTCCTCTCTCGCCTCGGACCCCACACACCTGTCATCTCATCTCCTATATGCAAAAGAGGGCTCCTTACATTTTAGAGACTCTGAGAAAAGCCATGGCCCTTCACCCCAGGGTGTGCATATTTGTACTCCTGTCAGAATTTTGCCCACATATTCTCACACCCAGGACCCACTGGGCTTTCTCTAAATCCTCTCTATTATCCAGTGTCTGTCACCACAGCCTGGTTTTGTTCCATCAAAGTGTGATCTGGGACATCGCACAGTCGTGGAGGCTGTGCACTGCACCACTGAGGGAGCGCCTCTCCGGCCAAGGATGGCTGTTTGTGTGCAGTGTGATGGTTTTCAGCAGGGGAGAGGATTAAGGAGGCCTACCTTTTTCTCATTTGCACAAAGATATCCTATAGGTTTTCAGAGTTAAATGGCACCTGCCTTTGTGATGCCTGTTTGGTATGCTGACCCAAAGTACCTTGTCTTGTTGTTCTGACAAAGGAAATCACCACGAGGATGATCATAGTAATGATAATGAGGCTGACACTTGTTTTCCAAAAGTGCCTGGTGTCAGTCTGTTCTGAGCCTCTGCTCACATGCGTTACTGCGTGCAGTTCTTATACTAATCCTACAAGGTAGGTACTGTTATTCTCCCACCTGCCTTTTAGAGGAAGAAAGTGAACTACAGGGCATCTTGCCACTTGCCAGGGATGGAGATGGCTTTCAGACTCAGTCAGTCTGGCTGCTTGACCTTCACTACATGTGGGAAGGACCCGAGTGTGGTCCCTCACTCCTCTGCTCTTCTTTCTGACTCTCTTTAACCCCCGCAGGAGGACCGTGATTGGTGTGTTCAGTCGGTGGCTGTACTGGACTTGATTGCGTCCACCTTCAGCCATTGCCTCTGGAGTCAGAATCCTGATGTCACTTCCCTCTTCAGACTAGAGCAGTATTTCTCATTGTTAGCTGAGAAAATGGAAGCTGTCAGGCAGCTTGGAGGACACCCAGCATCCTCCAGGGGCCGCTGGTTCTCATCCCCAGTTATGCACATCCTAAAAAATCAATCTAACCCCGTCACTTTCAAACTCTGGGAAAGTGAGTCATCCAAGCGTGTTGGAGAGTCATGTAACCATGTGTCCATAGATCTCCATCCAGGTGCCACGGGCCTGCTTTCTGTTGCCTCATACTTTTGGCTGCAATGTATACATTTGGCTATGTGTGCTGTGGCACTGTGGGAAGGCAGGTGCCTCAAGAAACCAAGCACAGCTCAAAAGTTTAAAAATGGTAGGCATTGAATTTGAGCAGAGAATCTCAACTTTAAAAAAAAAAAAACTTTATGTTTTTCTTCTGTTTATGAAAGTTATATAGAAGAAAGTAAAATTGAGCTCACTGTAGAAAAGTTGAAAATGAAATTAAAGCTACCATTCTACGAGCAAGTGATAAACTGTATTGACGACTCATGTATACTGCCTTTTGCTGCATTCAAGTATATGATGAATTAAATACACACACACACACACACATGTGCTCACAATTGTGGTGTTTACGGCATGATTTTACTAATATTGTTCATCATGCATATAATTAACTGTTCATGTAGAAGACATTCACATTACTTTTAATGTTTTTTTATGTTTTTTTCCATGGAATACTTTCATTAAACTGTGGTTGCTGAATTGATTGTTTTTATTCACTGTCGAGACATTATCATCTAATCATAAGACATTGGTTATTTTATCTTCAAACCAAGCATATTTTTAAATAACTAATACTAAACTCCAAACAGAATGCCCAAGGGCATCTCTTATCCTACCTCCTGAATGGATGTTACAATTAATTCTGCAACGGGCTTGTGTTGTATTTGTTTTGTCTCACTCAGGCTAAATTTTCAAGAAACACCCTAGTCTTCACAAGAATATGTGGATTAATCAGAGACTGGCTTGTTAATTTTTTTCTACCATAGAAATGATAAAGCGCTATTTTCTTTCAGTGTTCCTTAGTTTAATTTTTCTGGCTTTGTTCATAACTTTTAAGGCCAGCTACATTTGAAAAAATTGAAGGCCTATGTCTTTTTTTTTTAAAAATTTGTTTTTTTTTTTAGATATGACAGTAGACTGTATTTTGATTATTATACATATATGGAGTACAACTGGTTCCAATTGGATTCCACTCTTGTGGTTGTATATAATATGGAGTTACATTTGTCCTGTAGTCATTTAGGAGCAAAGGATCCTTGTGTCGGGGAGGGGAAGAATAGGAGACCCACATTTTAGATCCTGCACCTTTCGCCTTTGGCAAAAATTCAGCGGGTGAGTTAGAGAGATGGCGCCACCTGGTGGTCGTGATAACGGTGTCACCGTGTCACGTGTCTGGGGGTGCTAGCGGGTGGGTGAAGGTGAAGGGTTCAAAGAGGGCCTTTGCAAGGAACATTGGCAGAGAAAAGCGTCTAAAATTAGAGGGGGGGGGGGCAGATTCCCGCTGTTGCAGCGGCTGGAATCCCAGGTCACTGTGAGCCGCGTCAGTCCAAGTGCAGTGGCTGAGGGGGCTTGCTGGGCCTCAGTTTTGGTGCTCAGTGTGCTTTATGGTGAAGCTGGCACACTTAAAAGCAACCTCTTTCAGTAACTTGCCAAACTTTCTTATAAAGTTGTTTTTCACCCCCTGTTTCGGTTCTATCCACACTCTGACTGAATACTGCCTGTCCCAGCAATTGGCATGGCTTTAAGCATTAGAGATGCTGACATGTGGGCAGGTATTGTAGACTTGGGGTCAACCCTGTAGACTTAGGGTCAAAATTTGTTCTTCTCCCCTTTGCATCAGGAATTACTCCAACAATGTGATAACATGTAGAATATAAATACAATATGAAAACACTTTGCAGGACAATTTTATTATGAAGCTCGGCTGCTTCCACAAGGCCGTGCAGCATGGCACAGATGCTCAGCATTCTGTTTCTTAGCAGCAGTTTAAGGAGTGCAAGATCCATGTGGTGTATCTTGAGTAGATGCTTCTCTATTGCCTATTTTTTACCCAGATGTATTTGCATCCTCAGTAGAGTCTTCTGTGGCATGAATGCCTTCTAAAACTATTTTTATGCTAGTTCTTGTTACTTACTAGATATCAGCCTTTTTTTCTGAACATTAATGTAATTCCTCCAAAGAACCCTGTGAAGAAGGAACTACTGTTGTTCTGTTACCCTTATTTTGATTTTAGGGAAACCAAGGCACAGAGAGGTTATGTAACTTTCTGAATCTTACACAGGTAGAAATGGGGTGCTGCAGTTTCAATCCAGTGAATCTGTCTCAGAGTCAAGCTCTCAACCCCTACACAATACTTACCTTTGCATCCAGAAACATGTGTGGCTCTGTTCCTGTCCTCTTGGGGTATAACCCCAAGCATTCATCTGCTGCTGGGTAGCAACACTTCGATGCTTCTATCCTGAGGATGGAATTTGTTTTAACATTTCAGAATTTACTATAGCCCTATAATTTTATCAGAAATATTTTGAAACATTTTTTCAGGTATGTATTTTTTTTTAATTTAAGAATTTTTTTCTGTAGTATAAAAATTTCTACCTATTAGATTCACATTTCCATTTATTCTCTGTGTCATTTCCATTTCTTTTCTGTATCATTCAGACCTATGATGGACATGAGAAATATTGAAATGGGTAGTACTGAAGCTCTACAAATAGTTTTAGCTACCAGATTTGTGGAGGAAGTATTGTTGTTATTTTTGAGAAATCAAATTATGGATTTGAGTCCTAAAATTCTGAAAAGAATTTTGGAATCTTCAACACACTCTTTAGAAGGTAACTACCAATCTTTGTATAGACTTCAGTGCATGTCTTGTCAGGTAACTTTACTCTATAGGTACAATGAATGTCCTAGGTCCATTCCTTAAGCTGAGTTGCTGCACTGGACTTTGATAAAACAGTTAATAACCAACTTCACGACTGCCCAAAGAGCTTAACCACCTGTACAGGGGCATCTTTTTAAAATATGGATTTAACTATCAATGGTCTTTCTTTTGTGTAAATTTGAGTTCCCAATTAGAGCAAATACAAAATTCTTTCTTTGGGCTTTACGTGTATGTGATTAAGAAAGTATTCAAGAGAATTTTGAAAATCAAATGTATTTGCAACCAAGTTTATAAAAATTTTGAAGCAAATGTTTATAATAACTGTCGAAATAACTTCTTTAAAAAGCAGTTCAAAGCACAGTAATAGTGTTTACAGGAGTGTCCACATGAGAGAGCAGGCCCAGCGAGTACACATGAAAAAGAAAATCGGACTGCAGAGAAAAAGCAGGAACATTTTCTTAGAATGTTTACTTTAGAATAGTAAAGAGGGGAAGAAAGGAAAACTGGGAGGTCCGTAGTGCATGCTACTGAGCCAAAGATGTGCCAGTGCTGATGACTGACTAAGCCAGGGAAGGTGAGTCTGTGCTCTTAGCCAGGGTGAAGGCCAGAGGCTAGAAAAGAGAAACACTCTGAAGCCCAAGATGGGTGTGAGGTGAGCCAGCATCTAGCAGAGCTGTCTGCCCAGACCAGGGGTCGGGTAGGGGTGCTGACTGTCTGGGGGGCTATGGGAATGTTTTAAAGCCCAGGAGGTCTGAGCCCCTAGAGACTGTGCTTGGGCACTTCCATCATTGAGATATAGCTCCAAGGTGTTTCTAACCTGGTGTTTCTTTACTTTTCACTAAAGAATAATTATACACTAAAAGTCATAGTGAATGCTGGACAGCTTTTGTTGAGAACTATTTTTAAAAAGTTAACTTGGTTATCCATTAACTTGGTTATTCTGATGGAGTTAGTGGGGGAGGCGGCAGTATGGACAGTATGTATTTTTAAAGATTAATATTATAGTTTTGTTTGAGTGCTTCATATGTTCTAGTAGCCATGACCTGTTTGCAGAGTTTTTACCTGAAGGGCCTAGTTCACAGGCTGTGTGAATAGGGTTCTGGTACTCTAGGTTCACCCAGAAGGAAGAGGAAAAGGAAAGGAGAATAGGGAACTATTTATTTTCAGGAATGAGCCTTCCTTCTCCCAAGCCATGATCAGGTACTACTCTTCCTGGAATAGAAAAATCCATTTTTAATACATATCTACATATATATTTATATGTGTATATATACATATGTTTGTCTGTTTGATCTTTTTTTTTTTTTTTTTTTAGTCTCTGTCACTGAGAAAAATTAGAACAGGGGATATTTGAAATAGATAATAGAAAAAAAAGAAACAAATTAAATGTGAAATAATAGTGAGGTTTATTAACAATCTAATAGGCAAAATAATGTTGGGGAAAAAACAACATAAAACTCCAGTTTAACCAAAGATGGCACTTTCTGGCATGTGTGTCAGGGCACAAATTATCATGCTTTATACACTATAATTTTATTTTCCTGAATTAAAAAGCACATTGAGATTCAGAGTTTTGTGAATGGTCTGGGTCCTTGTACTTTTTCTCTGCTACATTTGACCTTCAGCCTTAGCAAATCTGTTAAAAGTGTGTGATGGGGAGTCAGGAATCTAAAGCCTTTCAATCTGGGGACAGAAGAAAACCACTTGATGATTTTAGAAGTGTTACAAACCATATGACATTTGCAGTTTTCCTGCCCCCTCTGGATCTCTTTTTCCCAGTGCATCTCTTTTCATGTGAGCAGGTCTGAGGCTATCACACCTTGTATATCTCCTCATAGTCTCATTCTAAGAATCCACAATAAGTCTGTTAACTGAGGGGAGGTGGGCAGTGTGCCTGTTTATTTTTTCAGACAACAATGATTGTCCCTTGCCTATAATTCCAGTGGCTCAGAGGCCCAGGCAGGAGGATCATAAATTCCAAGCCAGCTTCAATAATCTAACAAGGCCCTAAGCAACTTAGACCCTGTCTCAAAATAAAAACTAAAAAGGTCTGGGGGTGTAGCTCAGGTGTTAAGCCACCCCTAGGTTCAATCCTCAGTACCGTGTGTGTGTGTGTGTGTGTGTGTGTGTGAGAGAGAGAGAGAAAATTTCCAAAATCTGCATCAGGAAGCTAAGGAGAAACTTGGTTTGAAGAGACTTTCAACCTTATTCAGACCTTTCTCTCTCTCTCTCTCTCTCTCTCTCTCTCTCTCTCTCTCTCTCTCT